AACGTTAAAAGAAGTAGAANATAGAGAGAGAGAGAGAGAGAGAGAGAGAGAGAGAGAGAGAGAGAGAGAGAGAGAGAGAGAGATTTAAGAGACTGTCCATCCACTGGAGATAGGGGTGGCAATGGATCCGAGACCCGTCGGGTATACCCGACATGGGTCTAGGTATGGGTCCAGCATTTGCACCCGACGGGTCTGGTTCGGGTCCAAAACTTGGACCTGAACACTATTCGGGTCTGGGTTCAGTTGGACCTGTACCCCGTAAACCATTGGAGACAAAATCCTTTATTTTAAGCCCTATTCATTTATGTGCATTAAGATTCATATACAATAAGAACTTGTAGTTATCTTTAGCTCTTAAACGACAAATTTGACGGCTTGAAATCTAATGGCGAGTGCTTGTGACCTTGTTGCCAATAATATTGGTACATGATGGTTAAAAAGGGCAAAAAAAAGGAACTCACAGTGAGGGTGGCAATGGACCCAACCAGACCCGACGGGGTAGACCCAGGACTCAACGACTACGGGTATGGGTATGGGTCCAATTTTTGGACCCAACGGGTTGGGTCCTGGTTCGGGTCCAAAACCTAGACCCGGATGCTATTCGACTCTGGGTTTGGGTCCGGGTCCAGCCGGAACCGACCCGTTGGCACCCCTAACTGGAGAGAGAGCACCAGTACCAAAAAAGAGTGAGTTGTTCATCTTTAACCAAGCTTATGGCGACGTGCTCTTTAACTTTGCCCCTTAATATTCTTGGCACTTTCATTGAGATTTTCTAAAAAAGTGGAAGAAACGGAATTGCATCATCATTAGGAGGATGAAGTTCATTCACATTGTCCCAAACACCATGTTAATGGCATTTACTATAGATTCGTAAGTGACTGTCCCACTCTTTATACCGATACCTGTTTCTCATTCTTGATCGACCCACTTGGCATTCATACGTTGGAAGGGATGCAGATCATGGGCACTTGTGCACTGATGGATTCCAAAACGGAATCCCAATCACAATATAAGTTAAAAAAATAGCCATAGCTTGATGTCTCTGCTGTGGACAAGAATGCTGACTGTTTGAACTAAACAAAGGAAAACAAAAAATTTCAGGCTGAAAGTTAGAGGCATAAAGGTTATCAGAATAATGAGTTTTGGAATAAGAAAAGAAAGGAGATTTCAGTATGGGATTTTGGGAAAATTACAACTAATGGCGCCTAAAGTTTACTTTGGCAACAATGCTAAGCCGACGGCCAACAAGTGCTCAAAGCTTTCCATTGGCTGAAACACTCCCAGATCTGGATTCAACAATGATATTGGTCCATTCAATCTTGCGAGGTGCGACATTAGATCCGCACCTCTCATTGGATCAACTCTTCAAATTTTTAATATTGTTTGCAGTCCAATGGTGGAATTAAATCTTATTTGGACTAAGCAAGCCCAAAAAGGCAAATCTTAAAGGGTCCAGATGGAAGCAACTCAAGAGGGAAGGACTACTGAATGAAGCAGGCAGAGAAAATATTATTCAGTCATAAATAGGCCACGTGCTTAATTTAACAACAGTAAGAACTGCTAAAAGATCATCGCACTAGATGATAAAGTTTACAGTGCAGTACACTATGCTACTAGTAGCAATAAAGGTACATGGGCAATCCAATAGGGTAAACGTAGCACCATGGAGGAAAAAGAGCAGTGTGCCAGACATTGCTAATACTGCTACTCCGACGGCATGCCACCAAGATGCTTTACAGCAGAATGTTACTCATCAAATATTATCAAACAGTATGCTACAGCTTCCCCAAAACCCTTTAAAAAGCATAATGCAAAAGCCAAATACTTGCGGGGAGAAAAGAGAGAAACAAAAGAGGCAGAGAGCACGAGAGAGCAGAAGAAAGATAGTTGCTACGACAGAGAGCTGGAGTTGCATCTGGAAAGATAACAGAATTTAGGCACAAGGAGGTTGCATGAGGAATGATTGGCTATGAAGAAAGAGCTCAAGAAGTATGAAATGTGAACAAACTGAAAATGAGACTTGGGATTCATGACATGGGCTTTCTTACTCATACTTCAAATTGGACTATAAACCATCGAGTTTATAGTCATGGTTAATACAAATTCTTTGAATTTAATACAAGGGAAATGGTACTTCTATGAACCCCCACTAGTTCAGTGAAATAAATACCTTCATTCCTGATCTTGACTTAATTTTTTGAAATTGTAGTAGTATTGAGGATTGAATCAAAATGGCAGTCAATTGGCTATGTAAGGCTGCAATCAGTCTTTGTAGAAAGGGGTGCTGCACACTTCTTACAGATTTTTACTTATTTCATGATGCTCAGAATGTATTTTTTGTCCATCAAAACGTCATTGCTTTTGTTCATGATTAGCTGTTATCCCTCCCTATTTGTACTTTAGTACTTAGTTGAATTCGCTTTTCTACCCTGCAACAAATCGTCTACTTTCTTGGAGATGTGGTCCTTGTCTCTCCGGTTGCTTTGTGCCATCAACAAGACTGCAACCCCAAAATTCTGTTTGATTGAATACTTGGTGACTTCTTGTAGCCATGGTTCAAAATACGCGGAGGCAGCTGCCTAGGTGGTTTGGGGTTTGGGCCTCCTAGGCCGGCACCCAGAGACAAAGGTGGCCTGGTTGGACCTCCCACACCTCCCTCCATTTTATTGTATATGTAATTGATTTTTTTTATTTAATAAGTTTTGTGTGAGTATTTATATATATATATATATATATATATATCTAGAGTTAAGAAGTCAGAAGTACAGATCAAACATAAACATTTTATAACTACTATGTGCTTCAAAAAGATTAGGGATGAATATCCTTTAATTTCGTGACCATTTGAGGAGGTCGCAAGAAATTTCTCTCTCTCTACAAATCTTTAAATCTCGTTTTTTTCAAGTTGTTTCTCACTCTAAAGTTCACTAAAAGTGTTTTTGGGGACAAGAATGACCCCCAAAACCCTTTCCCCCCATTTTTTGGGCGCAAAATGGCAATTTTAGACATTGGCCGAGTGCCATTTTCTGCCATTAGGGGAGGCAGTGCCTTGGCCACCTGCCTTTTACGCTGCCTAGGTGGGTGCCTGGATGGACCCATATAGAGCATGCCGCCTTACCCACGACTAGGCGATTTGGAAAAAGGGCTGCCTAGGCAGCAAGGTGACTGAATTTTCATTCATTGCTTGTGGCTATGTTTTGTGTCACTTTGTTACATGTCATTTCATGCAATTCTGGACCATCATAAATTCACAGATTACGGCTTTTCAGATTATGAGCCTTGATGATTGTGTACTTCTCTGTTTGGTATTCATCAGTGCATTTAGGGTTTTATCTTATGAAACATTTGATTGTTTTTCTGTTTTTTTTTCTTTTGGTCACAGGATCCCACATTCTGCAAGCAAATCCTAAATGAATATGCTGTCAAGATGCACAAGGCCCTGCCAACATATCAAACCGCTCAGTGTGACAGTTCCACATTGCCAGTGTTTTTTTCTTCAGTTACATTTGATGATGTCAAATATAATGGGGGTGCTGGAAAGAACAAGAAAGAGGCAGAGCAATTTGCAGCCCGAGAGGCCCTTCAATCGATTCTGCGAAAGGCTGGTAATGCTTTGTTTCTCCTAAGCATCTCTCTCTCTCT